GCCTTGATCCCTATAGGCCAAAATGTTTAATCCTAGTTGATTCATTAACAATATTTTATTAACATTTTTTTATTGATTGATTTTAAATATATTTTATTGTGTTTTTTTTTTTACAGAGAGGAAAGGAGAGGGAGAGAGAGCTAGAAACATTGATGAGAGAGAAACATTGACCAGCTGCCTCTTGCACACCTCCCACTGGGGATGTGCCCACAACCAATGTACATGTCTTTGACTGGAATCGAACCTGGGACCTTTCAGTCTGCAGGCCAACGCTCTATCCACTGAGCCAAACTGGTTTCGGCTATTGATTGATTTTAGAGAGGGAGGGGGGAAAGAGAGAGAGATCAATTTGTTGTTCTACTTATTTATGCATTCATTAGTTGATGCTTCTTGTATGTGCCCTGGACTGGGGATCAAACCTACAACCTTGGTGTATAGGGAAAACACTCTAACCAACTGAACTGATCAGGACTTTGTTAACTGACAGACTGGTCGTCTTAATTTGGCTATTATTTCATCCAATGAAACTGAAGTTCCATTTAAAATTGATGAGTTTAAAATATGCCTAGAACTATAATGGAATGTACATAATCATGTAAATCAGACAAAGGTTAGTATGCATTGACATAAGTAGTAAGGAAGAGGAAAAATCTTATATGGCATCTTGAAATTAAATAATATATGTAGATAATCAAAATTGGATCATAGTTAATTTTTTTAGTCTCAAGTATTACTTTATTTTCAAAAGACAGAGAAGATAGTAAGTTAATGAAAGTATAATGATGTACATCTTTATTTTTTATTTTTTAATATATTTTATTGATTTTTTACAGAAAGGAAGGGAGAGGTATAGAGAGTTGAAACATTGATGAGAGAGAAACATTGATCAGCTGCCTCCTACACACTCCCCACTGGAGATGTGCTGGCAACCAAGGCACATGCCCTTGACTGGAATTGAACCTGGGACCGTTTAGTCTGCAAGTCGACGCTCTATCCACTGAGCCAAACCAGTTAGGGCATGGTGATATATATCTTTAAATATCTTCTCAATGCTATGGCCCCACTTTCTCAAAATACAGGCAGACAAAAAACCCCCAATAACTTTCTAGAATCTCAACCCCAATTTGCATTTTTCCAGTTAAGACTGAAGTGTGTAATATAATGATTTTTAAAAAACACACTCATTTCACCTTATATTCCAATCTAATTAAATGTTTGATAATAACTGTCATATGAAAAAGGTATGTGGAAGGACATGGAAATCTTTATAAAACTAATCTTAATAAAATAATAATTTGCTTCAATAAGCATCATGGCAAATACCTCATTTTATGTTGGTAGGGTAAAATACATAATTTTCTAACTTACTGCAATTGTCACCTCTAAATACTGCTTTTGCCAGAATTGTCTTATCTTTGAAGAATATATAAAAGCTGTTATTTAATCCAGGATGGGCTTAGACTAAATTTTATTGTAATTAGAGAAAGATCAGCAGCCTCTCTATTTGCTAATTTATAATTGGCAAATGGTTACCGTATTTTATGGGGGGAAATAAGGTTTTGTTCCTTAATAGTAATAGGCTTTTCATAAATTGAGATCTCTCCCAGTACACCTCTAGTCTGGCTGAAAAAAACTGGGCTCTGGTTTAAGAAACATGAAGTTGGGCCAATCTTTGTTATGGTTATTAAGAAAGAATTCCTGCCAAAACAGGTTTGGCTCCATGGCTAGAGCGTGGGCCTGCAGACTGAAGGGTCCCAGGTTCGATTCCCGTCAAGGGCATGCACCTTGGTTGCGGGCATATCCCCAGTGGGGAATGTGCAGGAGGCAGCTAGTCGATGACTCTCTCTCATCAATGTTTCTAACTCTATCTCTCTCCCTTCCTCTCTGTAAAAAAATCAATTACATATATATATATATATATATATATATATATATATATATATATATAAAAGAATTCCTGTCCTCCTGTGCTATGTGCTATGAGCTAGCACTTTGAATATGAAAAGCTGTTTTTTCTCTTTATCCGTCACCATATTCTTTTGTTTCTATGGTATATGTAGAATTCTAGTGATATTAGTAACATGGCTTCTCTCTGACTTGGAGTTCTAATGTACAATACCTCTTATACTTAAATACCCCTGTTGATGTACTCTTCACTCTCATCTTACACTATAACTTCATCTCCCCATGCCATGGTCTTTCCTTTCCCAGTGATCCAAAGCCAGCTCTTTGACTCTAGTCTTTCTAATAACTAGCACATCCTACAGTTTGCAATGTCCATTTTCATTATGCAGTTCTAGAGGCCCGATGCATTCATGCAAAAGTAGGCCTTCCTTTTCCCGGCTGGCTGCCCACAGGCACCCGGGACCCAGGCTGGCTTCCCCTGGCTTTGTCAGGAAGGATGTCCAGCATGATGGCTGGAAGATGACTGGGCTAATTAGCATATTACCTTTTTATTATTATAGATGATAGATCAGAATCTAAACATATTAGTCAATGTAGAGGTAATCAGAGAGAAAGAGGTTTCTAAAGTAGGGAGTGTTCCATTGAGCTAGAAAAAGATATTTTCAAAGAGAAAATGTTTTGAGTGGTAGGCAAGTTCCTAAATTGGCTACAAAAACAGCATAGTGGTGGCAAAGCAAGAGCATGGACTTTGTAGTAAGTAGAAGGAGAAATTTCAACTACTTAGTCTATCAATCTTTTTAAAGTTACTTTTTTTTCTCAGTGTCCCTCAAATGTATGGTCCCCTCATTTGTAAAATGAGGATAATAATTCCCCTCAGATTTGTAAGGCTTGTGTGACCACCTCTGTATTACATTATTTTAGGGATTTTTTATGATACTCATAAACAAATTATGAATAAATGAATTAAAGAAACATTAATTTGTTATGCAGTATTGAAAACAAATACATGTAAACTTAGGAAAGTTAATATAAAGAAGTTTAGCTGTAGTCTTCATTGTATTATTTATTACTAGAGGCCTGGTGCATGAATTTGTGCACCAGTGGGGTCCCTAAGCCTGGTCTACAGGATCAGGCCGAAACCAGCTCCCTGATATCCCCTGAGGGGTCCTGGATTGCAAGAGGGCACAAGCCAGGTGGAGGGACCTCACCAGTGCACAATTAGGGCCGAGGAGGAATGTGGGACGTTGGCCAGCTGGGGAGGGACCACAGGAGGGCTCCAGGGTGTGCCCAGCCCATCTCACTCAGTCCCAATAGGCCAGATGCCAGCAGCAAGCTAACCTACTGGTCAGAGCATCTGCCCCATTGATGGTCAGTGCACATCATAACTAGTGGTTGAGCAGCCTTAGCATACCACTAGCATATTACACTTTGATTGGTTAAATGGCCTACTGTATGACCAGACCCTTAGCATATTAGACTTTTATTATATAGGATAAAAACATGAAAACACTTGACCTTGATAGCAATTGGATATTGAAGAAATGAGCTATAGTATGTATAGAGCGACTGCTATCTGTTAACAGTGTTTTATGTGTTCAAGATATTGCAGTGAGAAAATTTCTTATCTTCTTTGAGTTTAAAAAGTAGTAGAGAATAAATGAGTTTCTTTTTAAAAATATTTTATTGATTTTTTTTTTACAGAGAGGAAGAGAGAGGAATAAGGAGTTAGAAACATCGACATCGATCAGCTGCCTCTTGCACGCCCCCTACTGGGGATGGGCCCACAACCCAGGTACATGCCCTTGACTGGAATCGAACCCAGGACTCTTCGGTCCACAGACATTCTATCCATTGAGCCAAACTGGTTTCGGCAAATAAATGAGTTTCTATTAAAATACCCTAAATTAGGGGTGTCGAACTCAATCAGAGAAGGGGCCAAAATCTAAAATCCAGCCTAAATCGCGGGCCGAATGGTTTACTGAACAGTCATAAACTGTCATTGTGATGGAAACGCAGCGGAGTGCAGTGATGACAGCGCGGTGCGGGCCACATTGCAAGGCCTGGCGGGACGGATTTGGCCCTCGGGCCTTGTGTTTGACACATGTGCCCTAAATGAAGTAATCCAAAATGTAAGATCACTTCTCAGAGCCATTTCAGTTTTGTCTAGGTATAAACACTGATGGGAATAGAGATAAATAATAAAAAGGAAAGGATGAATACAATTACTAGCTTATAAAATTTACAAGTGGTAGCTTCCAATTTTGTGAATTTCAGAATCTCATAGGATTTCTAGGGATTACATTTCATCACTTATAGAAATTGCTTAGTTATAAGTAGTGAATATTCCCTTCCTAACAAAACAAACAATCAACCCCCCCCCCCCCAACTATTACCTCTTAATATGGCTGGAAGGATTTCAAGAATTCCTATTATTGCCCAAACAGGTTTGGCTCAGTGGATAGAGCATCAGCCTGCAGACTAAAGGGTCCCAGGTTCGATTCCGGTCAAGGGCATGTACCTTGGTTGTGGGCATGTCCCCAGTGGGGAGTGTGCAGGAAGCAGCTGATTGATATTTTTCTCTCATCGATGTTTCTAACTCTCTATCCCTCTCCCTTCCTCTCTGTAAAAAAAATCAATAAATATATATATTTTTAAAAAGAATTCCTATTATTGTTTCATGCCATTTGACATTTTTTCCAATTTATATATAGTATCTCTTAGAGAAATGTTCAATAATTATTTGTATGCTTGAATGCAGGGTTATATATGGGTTATATATAACTTATTATAACCCATTCTACTACTACTAATTCCTAACTGAAGAATGAATTTTGTACCAATAAATGTGTAAGGAACTCTAGGTTTGATAATTTGTAACTCTAAACTGAATGCACAGAAACACTGTTATTTTAGAATCCCAAACTATGCACAAGAAGTTACCTCCTCTCCTACTGAGGCTAAATGCTACTAATATTTAAGGGTAGGGTTAAGCAGGGGAAAGTTTTGAATGCAGATTTCTCCTTGCCTCACTACTTCTCTTCTGGCAAGCCTGATAGTTTTCAATAATTCAATCACATTAATGTGGGACTAATATATTATAGTTCCTTCACCAATTATTTTACTTCAAAGAAATAACCGCACAGTGTGTTAAACAACTGAAATCAAAGCTAAAGGGGGTTTTAGATTTTTTCCACATTTTCAAAAAATCCTACTAATTTTCTATTTTGAAGTTTTGTCTTGTTGACCCAGATCTTTTCCATGTCTCTTCCTTTCAAAGCTTAGAGATAAAGTCTGTCCCACACATCAATTCATAGCCTCCAAGAAAGAGATTATTTTTGAGTCCCAGTCAGTCTGGCAGGGCGCTGAAAGGGAAAATGGGATTTGCTACAGTTCAATCCCCTATACACTTAGTGGCCAGACTATTATGACCTCTGAACGCATAATAATCTAGCCACTCAGTGTGTGTACACACACACACACACACACACACACACACACACACACACATATGAGGCCCGGTGCATGAATTCATGCATGGGTAGGGTCCAGCTAGTCTGGCCAGGGAGAGGGGACATGGGCAGTTGGCTGGCCTGCCTGGTGGTTGAACTCCTGGCCGAAGGGACAATTTGCATATTAGCCTTTTATTATATAGGGTGTACATTGAGTGGCCAGATTATTATGCATTTAGAGATCAAAATAATCTGGCCACTCAGTGTATATGTAGCCTAGTTAAAGATTCAGGTAACAGATCTTTCCTGTGAGTAAACGAAATAGAAAGTACTTTACTTGGCTTGTCAAATAACTAGTTAAGAATTGTGCAAGATAAACAATTGTAATAAGTAAGGAGGATGAGGTGCTTCAGGAGGAAGAGCTTGCATTCCTAGAGAGTCTAGGGGGGAGTTAGCGGTGGAGGTGGGCATGAAGCTAGGACAAGAAGCAGAAGAGGAAATAGATTAATGTTGTCTAGCACATTTAATAACTTTTTTTAGTCTTGGTAGCTTTGGTCAGAAGTGCCACTGAAAGCTGTTTGCTCTGCAAACTTATGCCTCATACAGCATAATTCCTGAGGAGCTGAAAGGTATTATAAATAGCAAGGTACTGCAAGTTTGGTTTCACAATTTGGCATATGATTTATATACTGATTTAAATTGTTCAGTTTGGTGGTGGAGATGTATAAAAGTCTTGGTGTTCATTATTTGTATCTGAGATCTGGATGATACTAGATGCTTTTTAAATCTAATCAATTATTAGATATGAGCTATATTTACAGTAATCCTATAATTAGAACCACCCTTTGATTTACAATGAAGAAACTGAAGCTTAGGAAGAGGATCAATAACTTCCCCAAGGCTACATAGATTTGAAATTAAGTCTATTTATAAGGTTTAAAGTTAATTATCTCAAATGGAATATTAAGCCTATGTTTTTTCACCGATTTTTTTCTTCCTAATTAGTTGGTTATTGATCTCAAATCTTATAGAAAAGTTGGGTTATATCCTGGCTTTGACTGCCCAATTCAATTAAACATGCAATTTGAGTTCTTTTAAAAAAATATTTTTATTGATTTCAGAGAAGAAGGGAGAGAGTTAGAAACATCAATGATGAGAGAGAAGCATTGATTAGCTGCCTCCTGCACATTGAAGGTGGCCTTTTGGTTCATTGGTTGAACCTCTGACCACTGAGCCACACTTGTAGGGCTATCTGAATTCTTTAGACTGGTTTTGACCACGAATGAGGGCTGAGCCACAGGGTCACCAAGACCTTTCTAACCCTCAACTCCTAAAATCCCTATATTTTGTAGATTGTTTGAGCCTAGCTCACTTATTCACTTTCCTAAATACAATGACTTGTATTTGGTGTTGAGATATATATATATATATATATATATATATATACACACACAAGTGTATATATATAAATGTATATACATATATATAAATATATATATAAATATATATATATACACACACACACTTTTATTACGGATAATATACCACTTACCTCTAATATGAGTTGACTGTGCAGCTAGTAATTGTAACCATTTATTGCATTTCTTGTATATCAGGAAATACACTAAGTGCATTGCATAATAATAGATGATCACTACAGCTCCATAAGGTGCATTTTAAAGTTCCCATTTCATGGAGCAGGAAGACAAGGCTCAGGTTTTGATTTATCCAAATTCAAGCTATAGAGTGGCAGAGTCAGAATTCCAGCCCTTGTATGTTAGACAACAAAGCCATTATTATTATTACTATTATTATTATTATTATTATTACTATTTTAATCCTCACCCAAGGATACTTTTTCCATTGATTTTTAGAGACTAGGATGAAGGAAGGGAGGGAGGGAGGGAAAGAAGGAGGGAGGGAATAGGGGAGAGAGAGGAAGGAGGAGAAAAGGGAGAAGAGGGAGTGGAGGGAGAAGAGGGAGAAGAGGGATAAGGAGAGAGACCATTAACATAGATTGGTTGCCTCCCCTACACCCCCACCGGGCTTGGATAGAACCTGAAACCCAGTTAGGTGCCTCAGACTAGGAATCAAACCCGCTAGCCTTCCGTGAGGGGGACGACACTCTAACTACTGAGCACCACCGTCCAGGGCCCCGGGTATGTTAAGTGGAATATTAATGAAACTATATATAGTTCCTAATTCTGGTTGAAGCTTAAATATCATGAATATTGTTTTTCAACCAGTGTTTATTAGATTTTCTGCCCGCTTTACCAATGGGGAGAAGTAGGGTGTTAAAGAGGTTAAATGCCTTTTTCAAAGTCCCAGTTTACAACTAAGAGTAGTAAAAGGATCTAAGCTACTGGCTTTGTGCTTCTGCGGCGCTCCGCAGGTCTCCATCCGCATCTTCCCCCACCCGCTCCGAAGTCGGTTTCCCCGCTAAACTACGTTTCCCAGCGTGCCGCGCGCCAAGAGAGCGCGGGCTCGACCAGCTCTTCCTGCTTTCTCGCCAATCATCCAGTCGCAGCGTGATGACGCAAAGGCGTCGGGCGCTGACGATGACGGTGCCCTGGCTCGCGACCGCGGCGGCGTGGTTAGCAGCAGCTAAATAGGCGCAACAACGGCGGCGACTGCAGGGACGGCGACGCCGGGGCGGGCGCTGTGCGCAAAGGGGAGTGGTAGGCGGGCGGCGCCGGAGGCTTCAACTGCGGCAGCCACGGCCGGGGCGGCGGAAGAAGAATCCCCATCAGCCGGCGGTCGAGTTAGGCCTCAGCGGCCCCTAGAGCCGCTGGCTCTGCCCTCCGCGGGGGATCTCCATAGAGACCGTGACACATACAGAGGAGGGGGCCTGCGGGTGTCTACCGGACCGGAGCCAGCGACTCGGCCTCTGCCGCCGCCGCCGCCTTCCCTGCTGCCCGCGCTCATTTTCTCTCCACTCCGCCCGCCGCCTCGCGTTTCCCGGTGTGCCCGTACCCTCCAGTGTGGGCCGCGGGGACGGACTTGTGGGCTGGGGGTGGGCCGGGGGAGGCTCTAAGGCGGCCGCCTCTGCCTCTCCCGCTCCCTGACCCACCCGGGAGCGGGAAGCAGCGGACGCCCCGCCATGGCCTCCGAAGCCGGAGGAATAGGAGGGGGCGGCGGCGGCGGCAAGATCCGGACGCGGCGTTGCCACCAGGGGCCAATTAAGCCTTACCAGCAGGGGCGGCCGAAGCAGCAGGTACGGGGCTCCCGGCTCCCTGGTGGTTTTTGCGGGTCGGGAACTTGGCAGGAGGGAACGGGCGGCGAGGGGCCCCGGCGCCCCACGTGGGGGAGGACCTGAGGGCCCGAGGAAAGGCCCGGGTGAGGCGGCGGCCGCTCAGGCCGCGGGGGGAGCGACGGGAAGCGGCAGAGACAGGCCGACCCTGGCCGCGCACACGTGTGGCCGGGGCCGCCTCTGCCCGGCCCTCCGGGCCGGGGCTTCCCCAGCCGGCGCATGGCGGGAACTGGAGTGCTAGGCCTCCGCTGCGCGCTCCTTTCGGTTTTGGCGGGGATGGGAGCTTGAGGGCATTACTCACGTCCTCTCGAGGGAGAAAGATAGAAGATGTGTCTGGAGGCCCCTATGCGAGTTGTTTTTCTAGTTTCCAGCGTTTCAGAGTGTGCTGCCCCGAGGAGATTAGTCTCCGGGGAGCTGGGGGTTTGCGGGGGGCGCCGTTACACAGAAAGTGGACTAACCTAGAATCAACCTAGTAATGAGTTCTTTCTCTCCCCAATCGAAGAGCATTGGTTTAGATTTTTTTTTTCCTCCCTTAACCGGGATACAGTTACCTTGGCAACTGGGGCAGTTTGAAAGTCCCTCTCTACCCTTAACGTCTTTTATCTGCTGTGAGAGTCTTCCCTCCCCCCTGTGTGTCCCCGACCCCATCTGTTCCCCACCCCCTATTATTTTGGAGGTTAAAATGGGCCAATATGCGTAGTTGACCGGGATGCCACTTCTGATCTCATGCACAAAATATTTTAATATTACAGGGTGTCTTCCAGAACTTTTGACATTCAGGAATGTTAGTGGTGTTAGATTATTTAACCACCTTGTGTGCTCTGGGGTGTTTGAAATTATGAAAAGGAATTTGTCCTAATTGTAAATGAGACATTTGATTCTGAGAAAATTTCATTTTTTAAATGTTACTTGTTATGGGGATTGAGTAAGGAAAATGCTAACTTATTTTAATAAAAATTTATAAATTTTTATAAAATTTATAAAACTCATTGATAATAAGGTGGGAAGTGTGTGTTTTAAGCTTGTTGAAAAGCAAAAATATATCAGAAGAGTCTGATAACTTGTTGCATACTCTTAAAGATAGACTTCCTAGATTGCTTTATGCTGGGTGATGATGAATATTGAACACTTCACTGTTTGCTGGTGGTGTTAAATTGTATCATTAAAAAACAATTTTAAAAGTAAAGGCTTGAAGGAAAATTTTAATATAATAGCAAAAATTGTGGTTTATAATATTTGGTAGTTTTCTAACACAAGTCTAAGCATTAGTATTATTCCGACCAGTTTTCCCCCGGATATATAAAGAAAGTACTTGGTATTCAGATTTCTATGTGAGAATAGGGGTACATGCAGGCAGATTTAAGATTAGAATTCAGGTCACAAGCCTGGCCATTTAACCTAATCCTTTTGTAGAATGGAAGTTAGACACATGCTTTCTGTTTCTCCTGAAGAATAAATGTCTCTGAGTATGTTCTTAGCTCCCCTTAAAAGAAAGTTAGTACATAAAAAATGAGATGTTTTAAATACAGATCATTGTCTGCACAGAGTTTAAAAAGGAGCTAATATATTCCAGGTGGCAAAAGTTATAATCATAGCTTATTTTTAAATGTACATAGATTAAAATCTAAATTTGGATAAATGATGCCTTAACAGTATAACACCTATCATCCAATCTGTCTTAGAGCTGATATAATTTTAGGTTGTGTAGTTTGTTTTAGAGCTTGATTATTTATCATTTCCCAACCTAAAATACTTTTAGCTTCTTGCCTCAGCCATTAAATTGAAAAAGAAAATACATTTTTAGCTTTTGAATTGGTATTAAAAGATGTTTGGGGATTTGTTGATCAACATTGTAAGTGTTGCTTAATATTCGAAACTACCAAAGAAAAGGGTCCAGGAATATCCAAAATAATAAAATAAGGTGTTTGTTTACGCCTTACTGGAACTTTTGTGGACTTGCTGTCTACTATCCTAGGCTGTCACCTCTGTGTTTTGCAGCAGCTGCTGAGTCATCATGAGCACCAAGCAACTTCATGACATGGCATGTTTTATACTAATGTTATTTGACTAAGTGTCCAAGGGTTTCAAGCAAAAATGACATTTTTGGTTATGAAGTAGAGGGTTGGAATAAGAATGAAAGCTCTGGCACTGCTAGTTAATGGATGTTTGCCATTGCCTTGCAGCCACGCAGTACCTGGGAGTTTTGCGTGTGTTCAACTGACTTGTAATTTCCTGTTTTGACTTTTCTGGGTTAACTCTGCTGAAATATATCTAAAGTTTGCATTTTTACTTTTAACTTCTCTTTAAAATGCCCTCTTGTTTGAAGTTGTGGAGACAGAAATCCATTGTCTTACTCAACTAACTGAAGTGTAGTAAGAATTGTAGAATCATAAATGAAGAACATCCCTTGAATAATGTAAGTTGATCGTTTTCACTCGCCTTCTCAGCCTACTTCCTAATTTTTAGCCCATATGCATTTAGGAAATGGTGTCATTTTTCTAATTGGGAGTGAACAGGTCACTAAAGAGGATGTGGTTAGTTCTTGTCACCTGTTCAGTCTCCTTCAAATTTCCTTTTTATGCAGATTGTGAGGTCCAGAAAGTGAGCTCTGGAAGGTCAAGCTGCTTTTCTTTTTCTTTCTCCCTTCCCTTCCCTTCCCTTCCCTTCCCTTCCCTTCCCTTCCCTTCCCTTCCCTTCCCTTCCCTCCTTTTTCTTTTTAAATATATTTTTTATTAATTTTTTACAGAGAGGAAGAAAGAGGGATAGCTAGCTAGAAACATCTATGAGAGAGAATCATCGACCAGCTGCCTCCTGCATACCCCCTTCTGGGGATGTGCCTGCAACCAATGTACATGCCCTTGACTGGAATTGAACCTGGGACCTTTCAGTCTGCAGGCTGACGCTCTATCCACTGAGCCAAACCGGTTTCGGCAAACTGCTTTTCTTAATAACCACGTCAAAACCCTTGAGCCCATTGGCAAACCAGAACCTTGCCTCTGGGAGAATCTACTGCCATCTCCTGGTGAGAGGGAACTACTTATTTTTGCCCTTTTGAGGGGTGTGCTTCAGAGGTTTTGTCTTCTGATTTGTAGCTAAGGGAATCAATCCACTTATTGTATCTTCCTACTAGTGGCCCAGTGCACAAAATTCATGCACTGGTAGAATCTTAATAGCTGCTGGCCAGGTACGCCCTTCCTTGGCTGGCTCCTCCCCGGGTTGAACTCCCTGATGAACTCCAGTTTTGCATACTACACTTTTATTATATAGGAGGATATGTAGTGTTTGTCTAACAAGTCACTTTGTGCATTTAGCTATTTCAGAAAGAGGGAGAGGAAATCCCTTTAAGTAGCTTTGATCAGGAGTCTGGGCAAAGGTTTTGTAAAGAGCTAGGTAGTATTTTAGGTTTGTTGCTGCAAGTTCTTTGTTTTGTTTTGTTTATAACCTTTTAAAAATATAAATACCATTCTTAGCCTGGAGACTGTATAAAAACAGACCAAAAGCTGAATTTGGCCTACAGACCAAAGTTTGCCTAACCCGGCTTTATATGGTAACTAGAGGCCTGGTGCACAAAATTCATGCATGGGGCGAGGGTGTCCCCTTAGCCCAGCCTGCACCTTCTCTAATCTGGGACTACTGGCTTCTAACTGCTCGCCTGCCTGCCTGATTGCCCCTAACTGCCCCC